TGGGACAAGGTTTGCCTACCTAAAGAAGAAGGTGGTTTGGGAATTCGTAACTTGGAGGACATTCAGGAGGCCTTTTCTGTGAAGCTTTGGTGGAACTTCAAGTATAATGATAGCTTATGGTCTATTTTCATGAGGGGAAAATATAGTACCACTTGTTTTAGAGAGAAACTCACTGATTCTCCTATCCGTAAAAGAATTTGCAGAATAAACTCTATAGCTGAAGAGCTTTTGGGGGACATTACTCCTGAGCAAGATGATGATGGGTACTCAGAAGTGGTCCAAATTTCTTTCAAGGAAGCCTATAACCACTGCAGACCACACTACTCTATCACTCTCAACGACAAATATAACAGGGACCACCTTCAACCTATCAAAAGCCAGTTGTTCCTTTGGAAAGTTAACTACAAGATTTTGCCTTTCCCTGAGAATATTACCCACATCTATAACTCACTCCCCTCTCAATGCCCTAATTGTCTCAAAGATGATGGGAGTATGGACCATTGCTTGCTACATTGCCCTATGATTCATGGTTTTTGGAAAGAACTTGCTCTCATTCTTGACGGACCAACTCCTACAGAAGGTATCACACTCCAACAACATATTCTCGAGTGGAATATGCGATCTTCTAACTCATTCAAGGGGAAGCTTAGACTTATTGCTTGGTCTATTTGGAAGAACTATGCTAGCAACATATTCGGCAATAAAAAGGAAAGAATCGCGAACATCAAGCATACAATTCAATACAATATTTACTTGTGGTGTTGGAAATTTCGAAGAAAAAAGTGGATGATTAAGGACACCAACCTTACAGATGAAGGTCTTCAATACTTTGCACTCACCGGGAACTTCATTTGCAACTACTTCGCTGAGATCGGGGAAGAAGTCGACGTATGATTATAATCTGGAACTGTTTGGGCCTTGTTAGTTTTTATTTGTTACTTTTAGCACTTTGTATCTTCTTTTGCCTCTTTTACCTTCGGGTTTCGGTCTAGTCCCCCCGAACGTGATCTCTCTAGTACTCCCTCCCCCCGTCTTAATAAAATTCGGTAGGAGTTCCCCGGCTCTACCACACCGATTTTGGTGCTTCTCTCCGGGAATATATATATATATATATATATATATATATATATATATATATATATATATATATATATATATATATATATATATATATATATATATATAGACACACACACACATATCTCTTATTCGTCCATAGGCAGTTGATCCATTGGTTTCATTAGGCATCATTGGGCATTTGTTCTGGACTGATTGGCATGAGTGTGCAGTGGATCTGGACTGACCTCATAGGGCAGGTTCTCTACTCTAAAATGGTTGGTAGTCGCACCTTTGTTTTCTTGCTTTAAGAATTCCTCACATATGAATTGGATTCCTGACAAGGTAAATAGGACAAGCAAGGTCTGACAGCTCCCATCTTATTCACTACTGACTTGCTTTGTAACTATTGTATTTGTTGTATTGGTACATTATTTTCCAGCTATAGCATTTTGTAATTGGGCCTTTGTAGGGGATCGGCCAGCCCCCTCCTTTGTACTTTGATTTTTCCTTTTAATAAATAATATATATATATATATATATTTACATACATACATACATACATACATACATACATACATACATACATACATACATACATACATACATACATACATACATATATATATATATATATATATATATATATATATATATATATATGTTGGACACGATTTTATTATGTGGCCTGAGTTATCATTTATCTAATTTATTGATCATTGACCTAATAAATACCCTACGTTTTTATTTGGTAATTATTCGATGGACGTAATTACCCTTACGACCTAATTAGGGTTTCCCCTTGGGTGTATATATAGAGGTCATTAGGCAGAGATCAGAACACACCAATCTTACGCCTCCTCTCTGCCTCTATATTCTCGTGAGTCTTCTTCACCTTAGTCATCATAACGATACACCCTAAACGGGAACTCGATCTGCGTGAGAATCATGACCTCATCCCTAACTATGTTTACAGGATTATCAAGTACACATGATTAAATCCCTAATTTATACTTTATGTTTAAGAATTGATCAACATGTGGTATCGGAGCATTATGTTGATAAATCAATTTTTTTATTTTCCCTGAACTGTAATTAGAAGTTATGAACTGTGAAAATCGCGTTTGAATTGTTTTCCGATTGATTTGTGTTTATGTTTTTTCAAAATCGTTTTCTTATCCTCCGTAATGATTTGATACTGACACCAAAAAAAATAAAAAAAATAAAAAAAAACCTAGGATCAAAATAATTGTCTTGATTCCCTAAAATCTAGATCGGGTTTCTTCAAAATTTAAAACCCATAAGACTTTTGTTTTTTTTTAAATTATTATTTTTTGAATGTCAGTAAGTATAAAATTCTGATAAATTATATAGAGTACGTAATTCTTCATCCTTAGTTTGATTAAATAATTTTTTTTTGTATTTGATTTGAAACATAATTTTGTTTCCTTAAACTGTATGGCATATCTTACTATTGCATAATGTATTCTCTTTCCTTATCTATTAATTTATTTTACTCAGAATAGCAAAACTAAGTAAGAGATATGCTAAAATACCATTTAAATTTTTTTTTACTTGTTGGAAAATCTCTTGCCTTATATGCCTTTTGATTTTCTAATTAAATTAATCTTAATGGGTCCCCAAAATTATCATAGCCCCGCCCCGAATCGCTTTAACTTTTGCGATTAATTAATTATTTATTTATAAATCATTTGACTAATTTAAATAAAATTTATTTTATGATTAGTTAAATTGATTTATTTTGCTTGACTTGAATAATATCTTAGAATACACTTCTGTCCAAAGGTGATGTGTAATATTTGGAAAATCTCTTGCCTTATATGCCTTTTGATTTTCTAATTAAATTAATCTTAATGGGTCCCCAAAATTATCATAGCCCCGCCCCGAATCGCTTTAACTTTTGCGATTAATTATTTATTTATTTATAAATCATTTGACTAATTTAAATAAAATTTATTTTATGATTAGTTAAATTGATTTATTTTGCTTGACTTGAATAATATCTTAGAATACACTTCTGTCCAAAGGTGATGTGTAATATTTGTAAAATTTATTTCAAGTCTTATTAAGTATTGTCATTTAGTGCATATCCTTAAATAGATATTTGCATGACACTCGCCTTAAATACATAATATTTCACTTCTGTCCAAAGATGATGTGTTATAATTGTGTACTGCGAACTAAATATATATGTGCATTAAAATTTAAATGTTTCACTTCTGCCCAAAGGTGATGTGTAACATTCAAATTGCACATGATTATTTTATTATTCATAATACTTAAATAAGTGGTCATAACCAAAGTGAAAGCCATTTGTTTAAGTAGAATTAAATTTAGTCTATTATTTTTGGTGTTATAATAGACTCTTATCACAGCTTCATTACTATATAATAGTCTTTATCTTCGCCAGCCTTAGTTCATTACCCCTTAAGTTCTCCTTTAATTACGTGTCTTATTTCTCTCATCTGAATCCACTATCAGCCCCAAATATGGGAATTGAAACCTTGAACGGTGCGAATTTTTCTTCATGGAAAGATTCACTGATGCTAACTCTTGGCATGTTGGATTTTGATTATGCACTGAGAGAGCCTGCCCCTCCTGCCCTCACTGATAAAAGTACTGCTGAAGATAAAATAGTACATGAGAGATGGGAGAGGTGCAACAGAATGGCTCTTATGCTCATTAAAAATTCCATCAGCATAATCATCAGGGGAGCCATTCCAGATTCATCTAATGCTAAAACATATCTGGCTTCCGTGGAG